ACTGGTTCGCCAGTTATTTTGCTGTGGACTACGGTCCAGTTCCCAACTTTGCGTACCCTCCGGGGGGAGCGCATTAAAATGGTTGGCGCTCACCGTGCGCGGCGTGTGTGGGGCCGTGTACCTCCACAACATTTTTTTTTTAAATGTGGGAGAGCGAAGCCCTTGTAACTGGTATTTGATATAAATATTGTGAGCCTTTTCCAAGCGGGAAGGGATTAATTAATAAGGAATTGACTGTTGTGAACCAGATACAAGTGGAATAGGGACAATTTATTGTTCTTAACCTTTTTGAGCTCTGTCTTCGTGAACGGGGTTCTCTAGCTTATAAGACTCTACCAACAGCTTTCGATTGCTCTCGTGAATATTCATTCTTCCAAGATACACCTAAAAGAACTAAGTTACTATACAAACACAACGTAAAAAAGGGTCCTAACTAAGACGATCACGCCATAAATTTATTAAACGGCCTATATTTAAACCTTTAGAAAGATCAAGTTATACTGGACACGTAAATTAGATATATTTATATATCTTACAGATATAGATTCTAATGAAATACAAGTATAAGTGGATATATAGTAGAAGAGAAAAAAGATGGGGGGGGGGGGGGTTCGTTACACCATGATTATTATTTAAATTAAAAAAATAATTTATTTTAAATTGCTAACACATTTTTTACGTTGTAGAGCCATGCTGCAGCTATATTAGTAGTATAGTTGTAGTACGAATGAGTCAGCTCGCCTGGGGAAGGACCACGCTCTCACAGAAAACCTGCGTAAAATAACAGCTTAACGCTGCTGTGTTTCGTATGGTAAGTGTAGAGAACCGAAGACCCTTTTTACTGGCAAAGGACTAACATTCCATCTTAGTCCTCACTGGTGACAACTGCACCAGACATCTGCATCTTGAGTCTTTATTGAGGATAGATGTAGATGTCTATGGGCTACAGCAACCACTTACCATCAGGTGGAGTGTGTGCTCGTTTGTCACCCTATACTATAAAAACAACATAATGTATATATAATAAAGTATAGATGTAAGGGACTGCTGAACATCTTTGAAGAGTTTTCATGGACCGAATAATCGTAATATTCCTGCCTGTGGGCAAATACGCAAATGTGCCGTTAGATGAGGAGTTGCGGAAAAGAGCCTTTCGTAAACTAGACTAACTAATGTATATAGGACTTAAACATGTTTAATTTTTTTATATAAAATGTATCTATCCAACCATCCATCCATTACAGCCTATAAAAGATTTTGCCATAGTTGCCACGCTTGGCAAGATATAAAAAGATAAAAGATGTATATAAAGCCTCGACTTCGGGAGATATTATGTGGGCTTTCACTTTAATTAAAAGTTTTATTTTAATAAAAAGTATCGTGGTACCTACCGGCAGAATAACAGTGATGCGTTAATTTTGCTGTAAGTCGGTGACCATTTCGTTGGTGCAACCCAACATCAACCACATTTTTTGTTTTCCCTTTATGTCAAATTCATTATGCTGTATTATTGGGCCATGAATAATTTTTATTTTCGTTCGTTCTAATTTTTTGCCCTTTTTGAGCGGACTAAGAAATTAATACTACAAGCTCAAGATAACACCTAGAATGATTTATTTCAGTTACATTAAAAATACGTTAAAAACTCTCATCTTTTATTTAGTTTATTAACCAACCCGACGTAAAATCTACTTATTAAAAAAACCATCAGAACTAGTTCATAATGGGCAAAGATACCGCCGCGTAACATACATAAAAAAATGACATACAGTCGAATTAAAAGCTTTCTCCTTTTTTTTAAATTGGTTGAAAAAGAATAACAGGCATCTAATTTAAAATTTATTTGAATCTAAAATTTCAAGGCAAACCACAAGTATTACCGTTCAACAAATCGGAAATTTAATTGGTAAAGTACTAATATTATAATCTAACACCTTATATAAAGTCTTTGTTTATTTAAAAAAAACTTGCGTGAGTGTCGTGGAACACTCGATTGGAACGAAGTTCCTTTCATAGTATATTATTATTGATAAACGTATTATATTATTAATTAACAAATATAAATAAATATTCGTCTAAAGTCTATTAAAATGAAGCGTCATTTAAAATAAATTAATATTTCTATCATGGCACGATAAGAACAATTGCGAGGGAGATCAATATTATTCCATCTTGCTTCCTTATGGCCAAGGCCGTCTACACTACGTCACAAGGAATCGTGACAGAAAAATCTTACACTTTTTTTTCGCCTAGCTTCGTTCGTTCGTTCCAAAATTATAAGAGACTTTTTCGGTTTTATGTTATAATTTGCTCATATTTTCTGAATTAGCCATGTTTCGAAATGAAACAAATTTCCTACAACATTACGAATCAAAATATGCAGAGCTTAATTTGCTTGCTAGTTAAGACATAAGTGTGATGACCCTACTAAAAGTAAAAACCGCTTAGCCTTCGTCATGCAATCAACCCTGTTCATATATAGACTTCATATTAGATATTCGTAGTAAAAAGTCCGATTTATGTAGTACCACCCACGTTTTAAGTTTTAAGTTCGTAAGTAGTGAATGCATGTGTTTCATTTGTCACACATGTCACACAAAATGATATGTCATTGTGTGTGTCATAAATACACGATTAATTTCTCGAGTACATATTGTGATATCATTCATATAAACTGATTTCATTCAACTCTTAATTGCACAATGAGCCCCTGGTTTAGTTTTTATTAAATTTGTTTCAGCAGTTTGTTATTATCGCGAGTAGGAAGTTGATAGTGTGGGCAGACTAAATTGTATCCACACAATTTTTCATTATAAAATTAAAATTATTTTACTAAAATTCACTATAAGAGAGAACAATATTTACTACTAAGCTTCTTCACAGGTTTAATAATTTGTGTTGTCAGGCCAAGTCGAAAATGAGAATAAACAACGGCTATATATTTTCATAATGTTGCTGCACCCAGAAGTAAAATATATTTCAAGATTTATACAATATAACCTAGAGTCTTCCTGACATTGCTCTCTACCTGATCGTAAATTTTCATCACAATCAATTCAACCATTCCGAAGATTGGCCTGGATAGACTGTCAGACACAGACATAGACAGACAGACAAAAAAATTAAAAATAGTTATATATGTCTCAATGGCATGCAAATAACTATGAGCTTAATAGAAGCTATTTATTTCAATACTACAAACAATTCATTTTTATTTATATGTATAGATTAGCAATATTATCTTTAAAAATAATTTTCATTAATGTCATCATTGCAACCATAGAGTAACACAGAAGGGGCGAAGCCATAACACATGAGTAAAGAAATCGTACCGTACAGAGGCAAAGCTTCATACAACCGCGCTGTGATTGATACTACTACAAGCTAGAAGCGCGTGTGTGCGTGAGCACGTACAGCGAGAAACTGCTTTAAACCGGCTCGGTCAGTGCTCAAACTCAGGGTTGTGTAAGAAATAATAAGTTTCAATTTTTTTAAAGAATAATTTGTATCAAATGAAATATAAAAAAGGTAAATATGATTTACGTAGATTTAAATCTTATCGAGATTGCCGCTGACTTTGTAAACAAAATTAATAATTTGTATGATTTCTTAAGCTCAAGTACACTACGATCTCTTAATAAATATAAAAGAGCTTTTCGATGCGATAGTTATCAAATTGGGTTTTAAAAAGAAATGCTAACATTTTTCAGGAACTTAAAATCAATAAGAAGTGACATGCAGAAAGACGTTACAAATAGCATGAATTTCATTCGCGGATTTCAAGTGTCTATAAATATTTAATAAATCTTCATGAAGAATTAAAATCAGAAGAAATAAAATTAATTTTAAAATTTAATTAAGTTTGGCTTCAGATGGAATACTGTTCTCATCTCTGGGCCGGGGTACCCCAGTGCCAGCTCCTTCCACTTGACCGCATCCACCGCAGAGCGGTTCGAATCGTCGAAGACCGAGTGTTTTCTGATCGGATCAATACACTGGCATTGCGTAGGGATGTTGCATCCCTTTGCATTTTCTATAGAATTTACCACGGGGAGTGCTCTGAGGAATTTTTCGGATTAATTCCAGCCGCCAAATTTCACGAACTATGTGTGCCGAATACCGAGTTCCAGTAAAGGTCAACGGTAATATCCTTTTTGCTCATGTCGATTTAGGAAGTGACTGCACTTTAATTCGCTGGTCAGATGCAGAGAAATTTTGTGTTAAATGGCAGGCTGTTGATTCTCCCGTTCTGAAAGGACTAAGAAATACTCCTTATCGACCATTAGGAGTAGCGTACGTATCTATAGATATTCAAGGTGTAGTTGAAGACAACGTAAAATCATTAATAGTAGACGACTATATGATACGCCATCCTATACTCATTGGACACATGTATACTGAGCGCCCTACAATAGAAATTAATAAAACCCCTTCAGATTTGATTATAAAGTGAAGTAACGTCCAAATTGAAAATGTTGATACCTCTTGTAGTTTCTGAAAAGGTAGTCTTAAAACGTGATGGGCTTTCTATAATTTTTGCTAAATCGGAAAAGGATATTTTTGGTCCTATTTACGTTCATGGAGATATCAGGGGACCCCCGGGCAAAGAATATTTCTTATTACCGGGCCAATTGGAAATAATAAATGGAATAACAAAGCTACTGGTTCAACTCGTGCACGTAGCATAACTAATAATTGCAACGACATAGTCTCAGTTTTAAATGTAAACTTAGAAGATGAGTCGATGACCTTAAACTGTGGAATTGTGGATTGTATCTGCGGAAAAAAGGTTATGTGTGGACTATAGAGCGCTTAACAACAAAACAATTAAAGGACATTACCCCTTACCACGCATCGAAGACCAACTAGACTTACTGAATGGGAGTAAATTATTCATCACTCTGGATCTCGCATCTGGTTATTACCAGATTCTGATTGAGTAGGGGTCCCGTTACAAAACTGCGTTTGTAACACCAGATGGACAGTTCGAATATACGAGGATGCCGTTCGGGCTGGTGAATGCACCATCTGTATTTCAAAGAGCAATGAATAAAATTTTCAACAAAGCACGAGTAAAATATGCTCTCGTCTACATCGATGACATCCTCATCCCAGCACAAACCTTTGACGAAGGCTTATTGCGTTTGGAGGAAGTCCTCGCACTTTTAAAAGAAGGTGGGTTTACGCTAAAATTAAGCAAATGTAGGTTCTTCTTTGACAAAATTGAGTACTTGGGGTTCGAGATAAGCGCTGATGGAGTTCGGCCAGGATCTCTTAAAACTGATGCTGTTTCGAAATTCCCAACTCCTCAAAACCAACACGATTTGAGAAGATTCATCGGTTTGGCGAGTTTTTTAGGCGGTTTATAAAAGATTTCGCTATCTTGGCGCAACCTCTAACAACAATATTGGAGAAAGATCTCAAATGGCAATAGAGTTGTGAAGAACAAAAATCTTTTGAAACGCTTAAGACGAAATTAGTCCAACGACCAGTACTAGTTCCATATAATCCAGAAGCAGAAACACAACTTCACACTGACACTAGTAAATTGGGCGTTGCAGGCATACTTCTAAAAAGAAATTCTAATTGTATTCTCCAACCTATTGCCTATTATAGTCTTTAAACTAACCCTGATGAAAAGAAACTTCACTCTTTTGATTTACAGACTCTGGCGGTAGTAGCGTCTCTGAATAAATTCCGAGTGTACCTACTAAGCATAAAGTTTAAAATTTTCACAGATTGCAATGCATTACGCACAACTCTTACCAAACGTAATCTAAATCCGCGCATTGCCCGTTGATGGATACAGTTCCAAGAGTTTGATTATACTATTGAGCACAAACCCGGCGAAGAAATGGCACACGTCGATGCATTGAGTACGACATGCTATCCCCGATGTGAGTACAGAAAATCGCGTTCTTGACATCCTTGCGGTAAAGGCGGAGGATTGGATCGCAACCGTCCAAGATGACGATGAGAACATAAAGCATATCAAAGAGGTACTTTCAAATCCTAATTCATAAAAAAATTATAGATATCATCAAAAACTACACGTTAAAAAATGGTAGGGTCTATCGGATTTTGGATGCAGACACAATCAGATGGGTGGTACCAAAAGGGGTGCGTTGGCAGATTCTGAAAGCTAATCATGATAACATAGGTCATTTTGGGTTCGCAAAAACTTTAGACCGTATACAGGCCATGTATTGGTTCCCCAAGATGAGAAGATTCGTAAAAAAATACGTCAACGCATGTTAAGAATGTGCCCGCCATAAAACAACTGGTGGACTAAAAGTAAATAGTTTCCGTCCAATTCCCAAAATTGACATACCCTTCCACACTATCCATGCCAACCATTTAGGCCATTTCAATAAGAGCAAACGGAAGAATAGTTATATTCTAGTCATAGTCGATGCCTTTACCAAATTTGTTAATTTAACAGCAGCGCAAAATACGAAATCTACAACAACTATTCGAATATTTAAAGAACATTTTAGTTACTTTGGAACTCCCGCTAGACTTATAATAGATCAGGGTACAACCTTTACAAGCAAAAAGTTTCGGGACTTTATAGTTTCTAAGGATATTAAACATGTTCTTAATGCTGTCGCCACCCCTAGAGCAAAAGGCCAAGTAGAGCAGTACAATCGCACAATTCTGGCTGCTCTCGGCGCAAAGACCCACGAAAAGGCCATAAATGTATAGGATGAGTACCTGCCTGACGTTCAACTTGAAATAAACACCGCTGTTCATGCAATTACGAAAAAGACTCCAACAGAGCTTTTATTTGGCCATAGAATTACAAATCCTTCCAAAGGGATCCTAAATGACATCATCGAGGATGTTAATGAACATGAGGTTGCCCCTAACTTAAATAACATCAGACAGGGTGCAAAGCTTCTTATAGATAAGCAGCAACATAAATATAAAGAACGATCCGAAACTCGAGTGAAAAATAACATAGACCTTAAGGTAGGCGATCTTGTAGGTATTTTGAGAACTATCCCTAGCCAAGAAGGTCAGTCTCGTAAGTTAGAACCAAAATTTAGGGGCCCTTATCGAATTAAAAAAGTTTTACCGAATGATAGGTATATTATCGAAGATACACCACTAACAAAAAAGGGTAGACGTTATGAAGCAATTGTTGCAATTGATAAGTTGAAACCATGGCTAAATTTTCAGAGTGCCAATGATGATAGTAGCAGTAAGGACGATGATGACCAAAGGTATTGATTGTTCGTTTGGTCAGTTATTCGTTATGTGTCACTAGGGCTCAATTTTTTTATAGTTTTTGGTAAGTGTTTAAAAGTTATTTGTTTATTCGAACACCAAATGAAATGTACAAAATGTACAATGTATTGTATGTAAAAGACGTACTTTTATTTTATATTTATTCATATATGTTTGTGATTTTTGTTGTGCTCACAATATTCAGGGTGTGCGCATTAATGTAAGATTATCTTATGCTCATGATATTCAGGGTTAGTATAGGAAAGAGCTTGCTCATAACATTCTAAGCACAAGATAAGTGAACTTACAATATTCAGGGTGAGGTCACTACCTGGTCAACGTCCAGTGTATTCTGCTGATTCTGGTCCAGTGTAGTAAATTGAATGTAAGGCTTTACTATAGTGGATGGTAACAGGAACTGTAGACTTTACTGGACGTAGGGTTTTGCTTGAATGTCATTGAATAATATTACCTATGCTTTAACATTAATGTAAAAATATTATGCTATTATTATTTACCTAGAAATTACTTTATTAATGGCTAAACCAAACTCACAACGATGGGTCTCGTTGCAGCAAAAGGTTGAGTTGTTATAAATGATGTTAATAATCATAGTTAATCCATCAATCCAAGATATTATTGTTACACCGTAATTAAATATTGTAAGTAGTTAATATTTTCCACCACAATTGAAATGTCAATATGTGTAACTTAGAAGTATTGAAACCAAAGAGAATATAACCACTACGATTGAAACTACTAAAACACCCTTCCGCCTGGCAGTGGAAGGGGGACTATAAAACGGAATGACGGGCGTGTCCGAGGCAGAATATAGAATTTGTGCTGTAATAGTCGTGTCGGAGTGAACTAGTCCAAATAGAAAGTTTATAAAGTTGATTAATTCATTGTTGAAAAATAAAAGAGAATGAGTGTAAACTGTGTTTATTTAACATGAAATATAGAGTGTTAACCGCGAAGTGAAGTTTATTTTTACATCATATAGAGTAATAATTGTGGACTGAAGTTTGTTTTTACAATATAGAGTAATAACTGTGTACTGAAGTTTGTTTTTACAATTTTAATAAAGGTAGTGTTCAATCGGGTTTTTAATAATACTTCCTGATAATTTTATGACGTTTGTTGAATTGCTAGAGGATCTGAGCAAATGATACTGTTTCTTACAAAAAGCAACAATTCTGTTATTACAAGCCCTATTTTTTTAATATAGGATAGAGTGCAAACGAGCACACAGTCCACCTGATGGTAAATAGTTGCTGCGGCCCATAGACATCTACATTTATTCTCAATAAAGAATCAAAATTCAGATGCGTCGTCACCCGTGAGGACTAAGATGGAATGCCTCTTTTCCAGTAAAATGGGTCTCCGGTTCTCTACACTCACCATACGAAACACAGCAGTGTCAAGCTGCTATTTTACGCAGGTATTCTGTGAGAGCGTGGTCCTTCCCCGATCGAGCCGACCCATTCGTGCTACAACTATACTACTAATATAGCTGCAGCATGGCTCTACCACGTAAAAAATTATGTTATTACAAAAGTACTTCTATATATCCTTTAAACTCTGATCTTTAGGAAATCTGCAATAAATAAATAAATGTATTAATTTTTTATATAATGTGTTAATACTCGTAAGTATTGTATTACATTTAATTTGATGCAATTTTAATATTAAACTATATTATAATTAAGCTCACAATATATATTAAGTAAATCAGAAAACATAATCTCAAAAATACTTATATGCACAAGGGACATGACTGTATAGACCACATTTGCTATTTGCCATTTTTATCGATAACTATTTACAAACCGGTATATTAAAACTATCGCTCGGTGACAGCAAATACTCGGATAAGACTAGGTCAGTTGCTCTACCAAACCGCATATTGTATCAGGGCGAGTGGCCTGTGGTGGTAAACAAATCCGAAACAACACGACCATTACTATGGCTACTAGTATGGACTTTTATTATTGTAATTTTTAACATTGAAAGGAAATATATAGTACTAAATAATACTATGAAGAATTACATATAAAAAGTAGTTAATCATTTTGAAAATTTGGCGTGGCAGATCGTTTTTTACATCATAAAACTGAACAATTTGGCATTTTTGTAGGATGTTGATTCAGTCGCGCACGTAATGTTAGTTAGCAGTGCGGTTGCAACTATGTATTGTAAACGTAGGGCGACCGTGTCATAAATGGACGTATAATGTGGCACAGGGGAACGCCTGCGTATGACTCCTCCCGTTCGGTACCCCGGCGGTCCGTGTTGTTTTATGATTGCAACATGAGAGCAAATTAAAACCCAGTGATCGGTCACAGACAGACACACACGATCCGCTTAAATTGTACGAATCAATTACGAAAAACCGCCATCTGCATCTGAGTTAAGTGTCTCCCACACACAAGCGGCTTGCGGTGGCGGCTATCCGCGAGCCGCGGCTCTAGCCGCTGCAACAACACACTACCGCGGTAGCAACGGCGGCCTGAAGCGCCATTCGCTGTGGTGCCTGAGCTACGATTAGACGTCAGTAAATATGACTAACCGTGATGAAGTCTTATTATATCCAGCAATATTACCATATATTTTGTTTTTAATCCTAATGCTTTTGTAATCACAATGCGAATTATCATAAAGTACTGGATAATTTTGCTCAGTTTCTATTACAATCTCTGAACTTAGCAACATTTTTCACGCGGCACACGCGGCCAGTTGTAAAAATTTGCAACTGATCGCGCTGCGGCCACCGACTGACCGCGTACTCGCTAACACACATTGTTGCCGGAAGGGGCGGAGCATGCCGCTGCGGCCAGCCGCTTGCAGATCGCGACATGGCCGCACGGATTGCAATGTAAGTGAGTCTGTAAACTCGTGCGGCCATGTCGCGGCCTGCGGGCGGCTGGCCGCGGCCGCATGCTCCGCCCCATTTGCCCACTCGTGTGTGTTAACGAGTACGCGGTCAGTCGGTGGCCGCAAGCGCGGTCAATTGTAAATTTTTACAACTGGCCGCGTGTAACAGGTTCGATTCCCGCCTGCACCAATGAAATCGTTAATTGCAACGCTGACGTCAAATGCTGATTTACCACGTGCTTGGCGGTGAAGGAAAACATCGTGA